TAAGTGTATCAAATAATTGAACTAGATGGATGATATAGAACATATTCTATTCGATTATCATGCTAGTGTATCAATAAAGAATACAAAAGTATTTACCAAAAAAAAAAAAAAAATACAAAAGTGGATCAGATGCTTAGTAAAATATTCACAATTAAAATTTGAGGAGGGATATTCTCACTATCAAAATTTTTTACTACCAACTTACTACATATCTAATCACCATTACATTAACATTTTCTCTCTCTTCAAAACTTTTTAACATTCTCTCTCTTTGATCCAATGGTGATGTGATGGGTAGTAAGCTAGTAGTAAGAATTTTTGGTAGTTAGAATATCCTCACTCTTAAAATTTTTGAAATTGAAACTATGTTTTCTAAAAGGGATTATAACTTCTTACACTATCAACAAACCCCTACCTACGACTACATCTGTTAAAAATTGAATGCCAGTTCCTTTGAAAGGATATTAAATTCTCGAATCTTAATGGGGCACAACATATTTGTTCAGGCATTATCCATGGTCTCTTATGAACTTCCTACGGAGACAAAACAGAATAATACAAGAATATTAATTGGTCCATATAATTCAGGCAAGACTAATTCATCCTTCATCTAATTGCTCGTTGTCGATACTGTGTTAATTCATAGGACTTAACCCAAAACATTGCATGCTTCTGGGCCTCTAGCACATCAAATGCATAATTGGAAGATCCCTGCAGCAGAAATTAAGAATTAGGTTGTTTTAGTTTAAAAAATTCGAAAAGAAAAGAATGTGAAGTTAAAAATATTTTTATAGTAAATCTTATAGAATAATATAAATCTGTAAAGAACCACTTCAACCCAAAATCTTAAGGTGTTGGGTGAGGGCCTTTTTAATGGTTTATATTATTCTCTAACACACCCCCTCACGCAAGAGCCCTTTAGGCTAGAAGCGTGAAAATTGCACAGGCCCAATTTTTGGTTTACCTTTTGTGATTTTTATTTTAATTCCACTTTAAAGTGGGAGGTGGTGAGGATCGAATTTGTGACCTTGAAGTCACTCAAACTCTGATACCATGTAAAGAACTACTTCAACCCAAAACCTTAAGGTGTTGGGTGAGGGCCTTTTTAATGATTTATATTATTCTCTAACAAAATCATTAAAAAAGACCCTCATATAGTACCTTAAGATTTTTGTTGAATTGGTTCTTTACATGCCATCAGAGCTTGAGTGACTACAAGGTCACGAGTTCGATCCTCACCGTCCCCACTTTCAAGTGGAATAAAATAAATACAAGATAAAACAAAAAAAATGGGCCAGTGTAATATACATGCTTCAAGTCCAAAGAACTCTTACGTGAGGGGATGCGTTAGAGAGTAATATAAGCCAGTGTTTAAAAACCCGGCCCGGACATCGACCCAGTCGAGGTCAGAGGTTATGGGGTCACGAGTTCAATCGGGGGGTCACGGGGTCACTGCGCTGACCCGGTTTTATATATTAAAAAAATATAAATACATATATCATATATGAAAATATTAAAAAATAAACCACCAATCATCAAAGATTCAAAATATTCTTAAAATAATTCATCAATTACACAACCTAATTAAAGTATCAAGATACCAAAGTACAAAACTCGTATTCTAATATAGTTAATTAAAAGTAATATCATCAAATTCAGGCTCTCCTTGTCCTTTTCCACCATTGCCATCCAAACCTTGAAGAACATTGCTTTCATTTTGGGGTACAATAGCCATATGAGGTTCGTCATCTACATCATCCTCATCTAAATTCAATTCATCTACAATAACATATTATATGCAAGTCAATAAATAATATAACGTGATCAAATCATCAAATTAAACAATAGAATTATCATGAAGAAACATACCAATACCATCTATAATTGATTCAATGGTATTATTCCTCAAATATCTTGCCTCTTCATCGGTTAATAATGGTGGTGACTCCTCAAAAACCCAACTAGTAGAATGATCATCCATTGTTTCCAAATTAATTGGGTCATAATTTTGGTGCTTCAATTGATTCCTATTTTTTCCAATATTCAACATCAACAAATATGAACATATATTTGTCTAAAAGAAAATAAACAATCAATGTATGTATAATTTTTTTTTTGGAAACATGTATATATAAATTATAATACCTTTGTTGTAGTCTTAGGTTGTATCGAACATATACAAGATCATTCAACCTTTTATGCTCTAACCGATTTCTCCTATTTGAATGGATCTGCCCAAATGCACTCCAATTTCGCTCACAACCGGAAGCACTACAAGTTTGGCTTAAGATACGAATAGCCAATTGTCTCAAGTTTGGTGCACCAAAACCATAAAGTTCCCACCATTTATCTGAAACATTGTAAGCAATAAAATATATTAGTATTCAATCATTCAACTATAACAAGAATTAAAGGTACATACTAATCATAAATTATTTTACCAGGCATAACTTTAGTTCGTTCCCGAATAGCTATGTTCCTTCCAAAATCACCATCAGATTCATTGAAAGTTCTCAGCTCAGATGTTAACTTGGACGATAATTCCTCATCCTTATGAACATACCTCTCTATAACATCTAAAAGACCAGAAGTTGTCAATGCATGTTTATTGAATTCTTCAACATTGAAATGACATGCTGGATTTAACCAATATCCCGCAGCATGCAATTTTTTACGAAGTTAAGTATCCCACCGACTATCCAGGATGTTCAAGTACGGCTCCGCCTTCTTTTTCTTTCTTTGAAGCCGTCTAACCATATCTTCTCTTGCTTTATAAAAGGCTTGATAAAGATAACCCATAGAAGGCTTGTCTTCACTATCAACAAGACGCAACAAACGTATAAGTGGTTCAGTAACTTTCACAATGTCAGCACATTCTTTCCAAAAGCTAGAATCTAAGACTAAATCCACAAATTTTCTAGCCTTCAAATCCTTAGAATATGCTGAACTTGTCGACTCTCTTGAAGTTACCATTGCTCTTAATGGATCTTTTTGAGCTAATATGCTTTTCAAAGCAATAGAATAGTAGCAAAGCGAGTTGGAGCTGGACGAAGAATTTCTCTACCACCTGTGAATTTTCTCATCAAGGGTAAAGGATGACAATGGTTATATACGTACTTGGTAATTGATGAAGCATGTGCCACGGTTGCACCCACTTCCTCTAACTTGCCAATATCTTGCAACATCAGATTAATACAATGAGCAGCACAAAAAGACCAAAATATTGTGGGAAACTCAGCCTCCAATAACCTTCCAGCAACAACATAATTAGAAGCATTATCAGTCACGAATTGAACAACATTTTCAAGCCCAACAAATAGAACAATTTCTTTGAATAGATTAAATAATAAATCAGCAGTTTTGGAAGCATGAGAGGCATCCACAGACTTCAAGAAAACAGTTCCTTTAGGACAATAAACAAGAAAGTTGATAAGAGTTCACCTAGTCCGATCAGTCCAACCATCAGCCATAATGGTGCATCCAATTTGCCGCCAAACATTACGATAGTTCTCAACAAGACTATGAACATCATCAACCCAACTATCTAGCAATGGACCACGCAACATATACATTGATGGAGCTTTAAAACCTGCACCCAAACTACACACAGCATCAAACATTTCTTGAAAGAAGGATTGTTGGCAGCATTAAATGGGAGTGAAGAAATAATTATCCATTCCGATATAGATTTGTGAGCTCTCCAAATCACTTCTTTACTCTGTAGCACGCTTTTTACGGTGGATTGAGATCCAGGAGTTGTTCTTTGAAGAAAATAAGAACCTATGGGATTCTTCCCTTTTTCAGAGTTGGAAGGTGGACGACTTTTTTTAGGAGGTGTTATTTGGTCACCAAACTCAATAGTTTCACTTTCTTCTTCATGTATGTCTTTTCTTTTTTTCTGTTTACCTTCATCTAATTTTTTTTTCATTTCTGCCCGCACCTCAGGTGGCACACTCTTGCATGGCTCTACATGCCCTTTTTCTCCCGCCAAATGATTCTTTAACCGATTAATACCACCTCTTTTAAGAGTCTTGTTACAATACTGGAATACTAAAAAAAAATTTCCATTCTCCATAACCTGTCTACAATGACCCCAACATGAATCTTGCTTTCCCCTACAATTTGGTTTGGAGGAATTTTGGGACGACACATCTTCAGTTGGTGTTGAATTAAGTTCATTGGATGACATCTTGCTGAAAATTAATCCACATCAAATCATCAATAACATAAACAGTTATATAGTCACAATGGAAAGACATAGCCTTGGCTGGTCACATATATATTTTTTAATTTAATTCCTAAAAGTTATTTTACAATTACATTCATATATGCTTCATTCTCATCATTCCATGGTTGTGCAAAGACTTACTACGTGATGCTTAACATAATAAAACAGAGGACAAATGGGCTTATAGTTTATTTAATTGGTTCTCTTCTATGTGTAATTGTGTATAACAACAACCAGTGATTGCTTCTCCTACACATTATCTAATCCAAGTTTTTCGCGAGGGAATCACTTTTTTGGCCTGCACTCAACTCAAGTTGAACTTGAAATGCCACAATTGATGGCCAACAAGGGTAGCCGATGCCCAACACAGTAATGCCATCAAATAATTTAAAAAATTAAAACAAAAGGGCTATTTCAGGTCAGCCACAAGCTCATCCTCATATTAAATCAGTCATCATTTGTCATCTTAATCATGTCATAAAATGTTATCACTATAAAAAAATTCACTGCATAAATCAAAGTAAGGCTGGAACAGCCTTAACCAAAGTATAAAGGGAAGAGGAACAAGGATTTCATAGTTTACCTCTTTCCTTCAAGATCCTTAGCTCACACTCTTTATCCCCACGTCCTTGACTTGAGCGATTCACAACAACGATTCACAACGGTGATTGAAGGATGAAGAAGACTAGCCGTCTGGCTAGGAGAGAAGAGAATCAAAGAACGATAGATATAGTTTTTTTGTAATAAATGACGTTGTTTTAAGCAATTTTCTTTAAAAAAACAAAATACGCAATGACCCCCTTTGACTCCTCTGACCCGGGAGTCAATGAAACCCGAGGGATTTTGGGGGTCGGAGGGCTTGATGTGTATATAGGGTCCAACATGTGACCCCAACCCTTAGAGGGAAGGGGTCAGGGTTGACCCGGGTCAACCGGGGGGGCAGGGTAGGGTTTTAAAACACTTCTCATCTAGTACCTTAAGATTTTTGGTTGAATTGGTTCTTTACATGCTATTAGAGCTTGAGTGACTACAAGGTCACGAGTTCAATCCTCACCGCCCCCACTTTCCAGTGGAATAAAATAAATACAAGGTAAAACAAAAAAATGGGTCTGTGAAATATCCATGCTTCAAGCCCAACGAGCTCTTGCATGAGGGGATGTGTTAGAGAATAATATAACCATTAAAAAGGCATCACCTAACACTTTAAGATTTTGGGTTGAATTGGTTCTTTACATGGTATCAGAGCTTCATATGTCCCGGGTTCGATCCTCATCGCCTCCACTTTCTCTCTTGAAATTGTTTAGCATAGGTAGGTGAGCTTGTACATTGTTCATCCTTCAAGTTAAGTGGGCCCTTGTGCAAGGGAGTGTGTTAGAATATATAAAATTATTGATGTAACCTCATCTAACAGTGAAATATATAAGTTTAGCAATTTAGACAAGTTTTGACAATGTCGTAACTAAAATAATTATTGAGGCAAACATCACTTAAGTTATTAAGTATCTAAGATTCAGTATGAAGTTATTCTAGGAAGACAATGAATCAAAGAAGAGTTTAATGTCTCTAATGTTGGAGGAGATAAAATTATCTCTTACACACATAAAAGTATGTGGGCTTTTTGACCACTTAAGCCCTTTATTAATAATTATTTACCAAATTTCCCTCGATTAGAAACTATTTTGAAAAATTAACCCTTCACAAAAAACATAACACCAATCTGCCCCTGTTTGACCGTTGACCACGAAACCTACCCGGGTACCCCACTCCATACCCGGGTATTTTTTTGAAAAATCAACCCTACCCGGGTATTCAAGGGGGTACCCGGGTATTGTTCTTAAATCTGAAAAAATCTTGAATTATTTACCTGGGTAGGTATGGGGGTACCCGGGTATATATCGGCTAGAAACCCCAATATCAAGGGTTTCGACCATTGATGCGAGTTAAAGTTTTTTTCCCCAAATCTTTCTCCCTTCACATCACACATATATTTCATCTCATCATCTCAAAAAGCTTAATCTTGGTAGGACATTGGCATTACACCTCCACATTCCCATTTTGTGTTAAAAAAATACGAACCAAGATCCAAACCCAAAACCTAGACCCAAATTTTCGTGTGAAAAATGAGTTCAACTTCTAACATGGTTCCTATAGTTATTTACTGCAATGGGAGGCATTTTGAAGGTCCGAACGATGTCCGATTTGAAGGAAAAACAAAAACGATGAAAATCAAAGTAGGCACTACATGCAATGAACTGAAGGAGAGAAGGCATCCATTCCATCCACCGCATGATAGCCAGGTTAGAGACTGTAGTGGATATGGATACAATATACTACATTGGTAACGATATCAATGATGATGAAGATGTGGAGTTCATCACAGATACGTATGTTGGATGGAAAATATTAAAAATGATTGAGATATATGTTGAAGTTGATGCTGGTCAGTCTTCATCATTACCGGTGCATACAACCACTGCGCACTGTACTGGTCAAGAAGATACAATTGTACGATCATCTCCACTTGCTCAGGTAACATTGGATGAGGATGAAGAGGATGAAGATGAGGAGTATGTTGACAGCGAAGATGAGGGAGAATCTGAAAGTGCTATTCCACAAGGTGATTCGTCAGACACTGACGTGGATGAAAATTTTGACGCTGACACGAGCGCTGTAAGGCTGGGTACCCCAGCCATGTCACCACTTCATGTTGACCCTATCAGTAGTGGTAAGTTATTAAATTTAAACATTTGCTTTAAAAAATTATACATTTTCGGTGGTATTGATTCAGACAATAATGATTAAGCTTTAGATGCAGGGACTGCGGTAGAGCCATTTTGGAATGAAAGCCAACATTATTCATTCATTAATTGGACCCTAATGACGAGTTGGAGATCCTGTATGGGGATGATGACTTGCACAGAGGTTGGAAGTTAGGAGATCCGTTATTTGTGCAACAAGAATTTGGCTCCAAACCTGAAATGCAACATGCTATGAAGATACATTGTATGAAGGGGCGCAGGAGAGCCATAGTCGAAAAAAATGACGAGTCAAGATTTGTTATTAAATGTAGAAACCATGATGACGGTTGTCCGTGGTATATTAGGGGAATCAAGCCCAAGAGAGGAGCTAATTGGGTGGTCCGTAAATGAGGTCAAGTGTTCATCCTCCCTCAGGAGCAGTCCATCCACCCTCAAGTAATGGTGGAGCTGGTGGTCGCCGGGTGCGGGTGCGACGTGCAGGAGTAGGATCAACAGTAGCAGAAACATCATCTGAGTCATCATCATCAAGTCCTGCATCAACATCATAAAACATAGACATTAAAATTTGGATATGCAAAGACATTAACCCTACTGCTACCCTAAACCCAAAATACATTTACCTGCACCTGCATCCTCCATCTGAGCATCGTGCTGAAGGGGGACCTCTGGTGGTTCAGGTGCCCTCTTCCAGTACCATACACCTTCTCGTCTCTGCATAATCTCGCATTGCTTCAAGAGGCGCTCCCCAAAGATGGCATTTCATCCTTTAACTGTCTTTTTGGTCTCGGTTGCCATAGGAACACCAAATCTGTGCAAAATCTTCTGCACCAGGAATGCAAAAGGCAGTTCAGCCTTCTTTGACTTGGCCGCCTTCCACATCAAGATTCATATGTAGTGCCTCCAGTTCTCCTCAATATGGTGAAGGAGGGCTCACAAGATCACAAAGTCACCTTCCAGCACCTTCGAGTGATTATGAAGGCGCTGGA